GATATATCATACAACATACTTAAGAAAAGCAATTGTTCAAACTAATATTAAAAGTCGTATAAACTAGACTATAAACGTATAATATGGATTAAGATGCCATGTGTCATAAAGGATGATATCTACAATCATTGCCTAGAAATTACTAATTATTACCGTATTTTTTTTTTGTAATAAATATCAGGTTTATCATTTGACGTTAATAAAAGTCGAAGTCATGCAACATTTGAATTACAAATATTCGTTATATTTGGCACACCACGTGCTCTGAAAATATCAGAATCTGCTTCCTGTTCCATGCACAGCTTTCGTTCGTGATGTGTAAATGTTAAATTGAATGTTTTACGAGAATGTTTATCTGTTTGTTTATTAAGTGATATCAGGGATTCCATGACTAGTAGTCAAGTAATCTCATTACTAGGTAGACATCGTCTCCTATAAAAAAGCATTGATGAAATTTGCTGAATTTGCAGAATATTTTTTAATGCTTGTCTGGCAGAATGAGAAGCCAAAATATCTGTTAAGCACTCAACAAATATTAAATGTGCATCCTGTTTCCACAAGACGAGTTAGATGACAAATTTGCCATTGAATATGCATTTCTATGATAAATGTTGAACGAAAAAGTGGTGCATCAATCACATTTCCTGAAGTTAAGTATTCACTTATTTAATTCTTCATTAAATGGTGCGGATATAATGAATTCGTACATCTTCTACCAACGACTTTGCTATTTTGATTTTTCAATTGATACATAACAAAAAGCAGCTATTGATAAAAAAAAATATCAACTATCTCAGGCATGCGTTGTCGTTCCTTGCATATTTCAACGTTCTTTTGCATGGTCAACAGAAACTATTTATCTGGAAAGAATCAATATTTCGAATATGCACCATGAAGCATATATTCTTTACATAAGAAATTCTTCGGCGGAAGGAATCGTTTTGTTTAAAAAATGAAAACGTGATCTTTTCAGTGGCAGTCGAGTTAAATGAAAATGTCCACAATTTATGGAATGGATTATTCTGTGATTAAATATTCGAAGGCTGAACTTCAAGTATAGAATTTTAAATTGATAAAAAATTCTAACATTTTTTCTCTGAGTTTCGGTGTGTTTTCCAAAATAATAAGCTATTGGATTTTTCTCCGATGACAAAATAACATGATAAAAAATATTGAAGTCTAAGATTCTAGAGTGTTTGACTTTTACAGGTTGTTGAGCACATATAACAGAAACTGAAAGAGATTACAATTTTGTTGTTTCATTCTCTAATTTCGAATGTTTGTTTGTGTCTTTTACACCTTTGTTTTTGTCCTATTTTTATATCAAGGTCTTTGGGATGTGTATTAATTTTTCCAAAGCACTTGATGATACTTCATCTTTCCAAGGCCTGAGATCAAATGGCAGTGTATGTAACATATGAACTGATTTAGGCTACAAAGTATAACAATTTATTAATATTAACTTAAATCATAAGAAGCCTTATAACGCGTGCTACGTGGATATTATTTCAGGGAGTATACAGTATATTTTGACCCAGTGCAAAACATACTAATTAATGTACACCGCAAGAATTTTTCTTATGCTGAATAAATATTTAAACTTTTCTGGCAGCAGGTGTGACTGAAACTCTCATCCAATAAAGTTGCATTATTGTTACAGAATTATTTTTATGTCCATTATATAGAATATATGCAAAGGATATCCGTTGGTTTACTGTTAATGTCCTTTGTTTATTGCTAAAAAAAAAAAATAATTCTCACTGAAATGCAGAGAATATATTATGTAGAATAAGGTGAAATTAATTCCCCAAATATCTTTCTATAAATAACGTAAAAACGAAATATTTTTCATTGTATTACGGATAGAATCTTTATTCAGTTAATATACAAGAATAGAATTTGGGGGGGGGGTAAGACAACTAAGTGTCTTCTCACTTGAGTTATTTACTCCATACAGTGAATCGATTCTGAGGGAATTAGAAATCCGACCTGTATTAATTACTAGCTGCCACAATCTTAACAACATAATATATGCAGATGAAATCGTGTTGATAGTAGACGTAGATTGGAACATAAAATAAACCCTACAAGTAATAGCGAAGAAAAGCGAGAAGAAAGGTCTAAATATGAATTTCAAGAAGACAAAACACATGCTCCTTAGTAAGAGAAAGATCATGGCTTGCAAATTCCAATTTGGACATGAGAAAATGAGTATAACAATTTAAATATCTAGGAAAAGATTTAACAGTGGATGGAAAGTATGACACTAAAAGCTGAATTAGAATAGCGAAAGATGCCTTCCAAATATTAAGTAAATTTTTACAAAACAAGAAAATAGAACTGAACTTTATGTAATTTAAGTCCATGTATATGGCAGTGAATTATGCAGGATTAATTACGACTGAGTAGCGGGTTCGATCCTCATTGGATGCTCCATACATTCGGCAATGTACTACATGTATGCTACACTAAATTACTATATGACAGTGAACTCAGGACAACATTTTCACAGAAGAGACATGAAGCAACTGAAATTATCATTTTTGTTTCCATTTTCTCTAAAACTTCGTTGTTCGGTCTATTGTATTCTCAGCATCCTTTTGCAAAACAATATTTAAGATTAATATTATTTGTTATAGTGACTTATAAATGAACTGCATAAAGATAATTTAATATTAAAAATATGAAAACTTTTCATTTATTTTTAAAATATATATTGAATAAAATTGTATAATGAACTGTTCCACATATTCCCTTGGCGCTCATAAAAATATTTAATCACATTCAGTGAGTTGAATATATTTTTAAATACCTTTGCGTTTTTAAGTGGAAATGGATAATATGACTGAGGATGAGATGCAAACTAAAATAAATGTGATACGAAATAATGATGGAAGGATCTAGCTGCAATATAAACAATTGCACTGATTCAAATTCTGTTCTTGATGAAAATGAATCAGACGACATAGGAGCAGAATTCTTTGAAAATACCAAAATTGAAATCACCGAAGCGGAAAACCACATCTTTGAAATAAACAGCAAAGTAACTTGCACTGAAATGTAAGAAAGAACTCGACTTCCAAAACTTCATATGACAAAGTCCAATAAACTTAGTCTGCAAACATATAACGCAGCACAAAAAATTAAAATTCGGACAGAATTATGGGATGACCTGATAGCTGCTAGATGAGATTTCGAGAAATTCAAGTGTTTTAAGAAGATCACCCAAATCAGGACGATAATGCCACTAAGACGCAAGGAATACTGGGTTTGAGAGAACAAATACCAAGAGTCACCACCCCAAGCAAGGTGATAAAGCCACCAACAGGTAAAAGGCTACCAGAAATGAAAGAGAATTAAAAGGCTTTAGATGAAAGACAATCCTAAACAAGAAGTAACGGAGTCCGGCTACGGCAAACGAAGGCCTTCGACGAACTTAGGCATTTATCGATTCGACGGACTTACGCACTTACCTCGTAAGGCGCATTACGGGCGTCCGGCAACGACAAACGAAAGCCTTCGAAATACGGCACTACTTAGATGTACTGGTCCTACGACCACTGCCGAAGCGCATTACGGGCGTCCGGCTACGGCAAACGACGAAGGTGGCCCTGTCGACGAACTTAGGCATTCACCGATTCGACGGGACTTACCTTCTGAGTCGCATTACGGACGTCCGGCGACGGCAAACGACGAAGGCCTTTCGGAAATCGTCGGCACTACTTTGAGACGGTGGTCCGAAGACGACGACCGCCACTGTCGAGGCGCATGGCGCGTTCCGGCTACAGCAAACGACGAAGGCCTTTCGACGGACTTACGCGCTTACCTTCCAAGGCGCATTATGACCGGCCGGCCGGCCGAAAGCCGGCCGGGGCCGTTCTTTCTCTGGCTGCGCCGGTCTCGTCCACTCGCCACCGACGAAAGCTGTTCGTGTAACAAACTTTGCTTTTTTGAGAAAGTCTCGCACTAGTCAGTGCGCAAGTTGTGCAGAAAGGTCGGCAAGCACAGTCGACACGTTCAATCGACTTTTCGAATCTCGTGTTTCGCGACACAGTTCGCGCGCGCAGACTACTTTTCGCTTTGCCTGCCGCCTGCCGCCGCCCGCCGCCGCCCTCCGCCACCCGCCGACCACTGCTAAGGCGGGCGGTGCGCGTCCGGCGACTGCAAACGAACGCCTTCGACGGACTTGCGCACTTACCTTCCAAGGGGCATTACAGGCGTCCGGCTACGGCAAACGACTAAGGCAGCCCTGTCGACGAAATTAGGCATTCACCGATTCGACGGGACTACCTTCTGAGTCGCATGACGGGCCTCCGGCGACGGCAAGCGACGAAGGCCTTCGACGTTACAGCCGCCCTTTTTCCTTTTTTTATTTTATTTATTTTTTTTTTTTGGAAGTTAGGCTTAATTAGACTACTCAGAGCAGTCACGAAGCAACCTCGGCGTAGCAGCAGGGCGAGTTAACCCCTCCGACGGAAATCACAATCTCGGCTCCATAATGACATCCAGATTCCGCTTCTTCATGGCTTGCGCCACGAAAAGCACAACATTGTCATGCCTTTTCCTTCGGAGACCATCAACGATACCGCGGGCTTAGGCTACGTGGGGCAGGCCCATGGGAGCATTGCGACCACACTTACACACTGTATCGACCCTACGGCCACCCCGGGATAACCGGGCTGGCGTGCCCATACAGCCTAGACGGACTCGGATGGCCTCCTGGAACTCAACGCCGGCCAAGGTGGAGGGGGCATAATCAAGCCAACTGTTAACAGCCGGAACATGATCATACCCCTTTATATCCCTGGTATCCAACCTACCAAGCAGGTCTTCAACCAGGCCCTCTCGGGTGCAGTTGGTATAGTTGCTGAATCTGTATGTCATTAAGTAACGGACTGAGGGATTACATGCAATCGGGGCATCCTCTGCGTACCCTTCAGTAAAAAGGCTAAGGCGTTTACCATTTAGTGTGGAAACGAGTTGTTCGAGCGAAGCAACCCCTAAACCGCCGAATCTCGCCGGAGAGTGGATAGCGGAATTGGGACAGTCGGCAGGCAGCCGGAGACACCTACGAACTGCCGACGAATCATCTTGTTCCCCTTAACCAGTTCAGCACTATGATGGCGGCCGAAAACTAGGTGATCATGCAAACGCGGAAGCAAGAATTTCTTCAGGAAGTTCAGCTTTTGCTGCGGATTAAGCGCAGCGCGATCGAGCATGGTCAAAAGATGGTCGAGACCAAGTGGTATCCGGGCGACACCCCTCCAATTGAACTGGACTCCGAGATAATTGAACTCAGACTCGGCAGTTACAACCGGGAGGGCGGCGCCGTCCACCGTTATGGACACGGCAGTGTCCACGTAGCAGAACTTCATCTTCCCGCGAATGCATAACACACGGCATTTCAGGGCGTTGAGTTCGAGTCCGAGCTTGCCAAGACCAACAAGGAGCCGGTCAATCCGCTTCTTCATCTCGTCAAGAGAGCTGGCGAATAGTATGAGATCATCAGCATAAGCCATCTGATTCAGTACTAGCGCGCCGATGGAAAAAGCCGTACTCCTCCTGCCCCTCTAGGATCTGATCCATCGCGATGTTAAATAGCCAGGGGGACAGGGGGCCCCCCTGCTTGACCCCACGATGAGCAGGGTGGATCAGATCCCTCCCGATCTGCAATCTACTGGAGCAGAAATAGGAGCGAAAGTAATGGAGAAGAGGTGTCTGGGACCCCCTTTCGCCTAAAAATGCCAAGGAGATCCTTGTGCGAGAGTGAGTCAAAAGCCTTACGAATGTCTACGGCGGCTACTACAAGGTTTTCGTTCTTATTGCGGGCTTCGGCGATAGCCGCATGTAGTTTTAAGACATTGTGTGCAATCCCGTCAAGACGCTGAAACCCGACTTGGTCTTGATGGTTCGGCAGGGATGCTTCGAAACGGCTGGCTAGGACTCGGTGGTACACTCGCACAAAGTAGTTCCAATGGCGATAGGTCGAAATTCCAAGGGGTCGCCGGGTACATCCACCTTCATGATGAAAGTCACCCGAGAAGTGAAAATATTACCGGCTCTACCCTTGGATGGTGGCGGACCCTTCAGCAGCAGCAAGTTACATAGCAGGGTGTTGACCTGTACGGGAATATCCCGCAAGGTGTTAAGGTGGAGGCCATCAGGTCCGGGGGAAGATTCTTTCATTGACGCGAGGGCGGAAACAATATCGGAAACGAGGATAGGGGACATGAGATCGTTTATCGGTTGGCCAGGATGTTCTTCGGCCAGGTCCGCAAAGCAGTCGCGTTCGAAAACCGGTTTCCATTTACGTAGAAAGTCCTCGTCCGAAAAGGATCGCTCGGCAACGAGGCCCTCGTAGGAGAGATCGCTGTCGAGGAACCTCTCGGCCACCGACTTCGGGCTTCTAGAATGGAGTCTTTGCAAGAATTTGTATATGGCGGAGCGTTGGTGGCGACGCCGCCGAATTCCTGACTTAATAGGTGGATTCGAGCGCCTGATTCCGGTCCCGTTCTTGGGGAATACTTCGTAATATAATATACTTCGAAAAACCGTCGGACTCGCTGAGGGCCAACTCGGCTTTGTTCCGGAGATTAATGTCGGAAATCAAAAGCAGGAGATTGTTGATATACTCAACGATGCCATGAGAGTCATCGCGTGGAACGTCATCGGTAGGCTGGGCCTCCGTCGTGTCCAGCTCCTCATCCGGAGGTACCTGGGGCGCGGTATCACTGTTACCGACAAGAGTACTAACCTTAGGAAGTCGTTTTCTCTTGGAGCGGATGGCAGAGATGGTGCGACAGGAAGGAAAGGGGCCAGATCAGCGTCCGTTGTGCCAGGTGGCGCAGATGTTAAGACTTAAATCTCGGAGCCGGACCATATGCGGCAAGTCTTCGGCACAGGGGCCATCGGACCAGTCGGTGGGGACCCCGTGGGGGGTAGGACGCGACCACGGACACCGAAAACCACTTGGGACTGGGCGCTTTCAGGGCCAGGACAGGGGACGGGGTTCTCAAGCGATTTCAGTAGGTCTTTGTAGTCCTTCCTTCGTCGCCTGCAGCTAACTTGGTCACTGCTACGTGCCATGCAGGACGCGATGTACGTGTTAACATTATGCACGTTAAGGGACGACGCCTCGCGCTATAGCACAGCCATACGCCTGAGGTCGGCCAGCGACCATCGGATGTAGGTACGGGCATGCGAGCGATATGAGGCGTCGCGCCGTTTCTTCAACTCGATACATTGATTCGGATGTGCCTGGTATATGTGGGCAGAGAGTCCGGCTGAACGCTCGAAAGCGTGCGAGCACACAGCGCAACTCCAACTGAGGGAATTATCTTCCCGATCTACAGGGACAGTAATTTGGTCACTGCCAGTCGAGTCGGGGGAATGTCGAGGCGTGGTATAACGTGTGCAACCAATTTTAAGCAATCAAGGGGGGATGGCAACCCCACAATGACCGGTGGATTTAGGAAGCGCGGGCACCCCACATTTAATGTCTGCGGACGACGTCTGGACTCTTAGCCAGCCCGAGGGCTGTTTCCAGCGGGACCCTAGATGACGAGGCATTTGGCTACTTTAAGAGAGTCATAGTTACTCATTAAGAGAGTCACCCGCGCTTGGTTGAATTTCTTCACTTTAACATTCAGAGCACTGGACAGAAATCACATCGTGTCTGTACGGGTCGACCGGCCACACGATGCTTTGTTTTAAATAGTCGGATTCCCCCGGTCCATATCAGTTCCGAGTCGACCGTTCGCTGCCGGACGAACGCCCACGCGCCGAGAGAGAAGCTGAGCAACGGGTGGGACGGGCGCGCGTGCGAGCCGCCTGCGCAAACGCAGGTTGAGGCCTACACGCGACGCTTACCCGAAGAGGGGCTGGAAGCCGTGGCGCTCCAGGAAGACCCGGGCGAGGAGCCGTTTTGCTCGCCGGCCGACGCGCCGGTAGCGACGGGGTGGCGCCGCGAGCGGAGACCCGTAGCGCATGCGACACGCGAGGCGCGAAACAGGAAAGGGGACAGAGAAGGGAGCGGAAGACAGCAAGCGTAAGCGTCGAAGAACGGGTTTACTCGGGGTTCGTGAACGACGCATCGCGCACAGAACAACGCGATATGAGCCACCGCCCAGATGCACGAACGCGCGTGCCCGTCGCCCCGACCCGAAAACCGCCGCCCGCCGCCGAACGCCGCCTAGCCCGACCCTGCGGCCCCCGACCCGAGCTCGCGCACGACCGCGACGCCGCAACGCCGACGGACCGCTACGACACCTTGAACCCGCGCCGCGAACGGAGCAAACGCTACAGCCCCGTACCGCTTCCTCGCTTCGAAGGTACGGATCCATTTTGCCGACTTCCCTTACCTGCATTGATGCCATCGACGAGTGGCTGTACACCTTGGAGACCTGCTGCGAATGGTGGGTACGGACCGACTCGAGAGCTGCGAAAACCGGACCCGGATTTTCCAGGGCCGCAGAAAGCGCACCGGACGCCGCCCGAGCCGCGGCGCTCTACAGGTACCTTTTCCGTATCTCCAGACGAGCCGATTCTACGGACACAGTCCTTTACGAAGAAGAGAGAACTCTTCCTGGGGATCTCAGCGACGTCTCCAGGCTCGCTTGCGTCACCGCGGTTTCGCTTGAGAAGCGACGAGACGCCACCGACATCGCTGCCAGCAGCGCCGCCACCTCCGGGGACTCTCCGAATCTGGGTTCGGGAATATTAACCTGATTCCCTTTCGACGCACGGTCGGCTGCACGTCGTTTGCTTTTGAGGACAAAGAGAATTACGGATCCGGCGCCTTTTGGGAAGACTTTCGTCTGCGTCTTAGGACCGACTGACCCGTGCTCGACCGCCGTTGGCACGGGAGCCTTCTCCACTTCGGTCTTCGAAAGTCTCGTTCAAATATTTGCTACTACCACCGAGATCTGCACCCGCGGTCGGCTCCACCCGGGCTCGCGCCCTAGGCTTCCGTGCTCACCGTGGCGCACTCCTACTCATCGCGGAATCGGTCAGGCGTGCGCATCGTTTTCGTTTTTCCAGCGCAAGCGCTTCTGCCGAGACGGTCCGCTATCGGTCCGTCGCTCCAGCGCCATCCATTTTCGGGGCCGGTCGATTCAGCAGGTGAGTTGTTACACACTCCTTAGCGGATTCCTGAGGATTCGTCGAAGGCCTTCGTTTGCCGTAGCCGGAACCCCGTAATGCGCCTTGCGAGGTAAGTGCGTAAGTCCGTCGAATCGTTAAATGCCTAAGTTAGTCGAAGGCCTTCGTTTGCCGTAGCCGGACTCACGTAATGCGCTTCGGCAGTGGTCGTAGGACCAGTATCTCTAAGTAGTGCCGAATTTCGAAGACCTTCGTTTGTCGTTGCCGGAGGCCCGTAATGCGCCTTACGAGCTAAGTGCGTAAGTCCGTCGAATCGTTAAATGCCCAAGTTCGTCGAAGGCCTTTGTTTGCCGTAGCCGGACTCCCGTAATGCGCCTTACGAGGTAAGTGCGTAATTACGTCGAAGGCCTTCGTTTGCCTTAGCCGGACGCGCGTCGCCCGCCTCGGCAGTGGTCGGCGAAATCACTTTTCGAACGAAGTGACGATTTTCGATTTTTTGAAAAAAATTCAAAAAATAAAATTCGAATATCAAACTAAACCTATTGATTGTTGATTTTTGGTCATTTCTGAGCTTTTTGTATAGTCTCTGTATTGAATAGTATGTAATTTTGAAAAAAAAGCAAAGGTTGTTACACGAACAAGGTTCAAAGCATAAAGTGTTAGGGAAGATCGAGGTTGTTCGGTTTGCGCGGCGGAGACGTCAATTTTGTGCCTCGCGTCGGCTTATGGCCTCAGCCTTTCGCTACCGCGCGTGTTATATTTGCTTTCTCTCGATTTTGCCTCAACTTTCGCTGATCTCTGCTTTTTCCCTTACCATGGCGTTCGTTATGCCGTCTAAGCCGAATGCGCCGCCGGCTTCGCTGTGTTCGTCTTGGGCGGTGTTCCTTCGGAGTAGAAAGCGTTTTCGCCATATCTTCCTAGAATGCCGCCAGAGTTCGTCGAATGCCTTCGTTTGCCGTAGCCGGACTCCCGTAATGCGCCTTACGAGGTAAGAGCGTAATTCCATCGAAGGCCTTTGTTTGCCGTAGCCTGACACCCGTAATGCGCTTCGGCAGTGGTCGTGGGACCAGTACATCTAAGTAGTGCCGAATTTCGAAGGCCTTCTTTGTCGTCGCCGGACGCCTGTAATGCGCTTTAGTAAGTCCGTCGAAGGCCTTCGTTTTGCCGTAGCCGGACGCGCGTCGCCCGCCTCGGCAGTGTTCGGCGAAATCACTTTTTGAACGAACGGACGATTTTCGATTTTTTGGAAAGAATTCATAAAATAAAATTCGACTTTCAAACTAAACCTATTGATTGTTGTTTTTATGTCATTTCTAAGCGTTTTGTATAGTTTCTATATTGAATAGTATAAAATTTTGAAAAAAAGCAAAGGCTGTTACACGAACAACGTTCAAAACATAAGTTGGTAGGGAGATCGAGCTTGTTCGGTTAGCGCAGCGGAGACGGCAATTTTAGGCTTTGGCCTCAACCTTTCGCTACCGCGCGTGTTATATTTATTTTCTCTCGCTTTTGCCTCAACCTTCGCTAATCTCTTTTTCTGTTACCATAGCGATCGTTATGCCGTCTTAGCCGAATGCGCCGCTGCCTTCGCTGTGTTCGACTTGGTCGGTGCTCCTTCGGAGTAGAAAGCGTTTTCGCGCAATCTTCCTAGAATGCCGCCTACTGACGCAATTATCGGTCTCTAGGAGCAAATGTTCGATAACTCTACTCCTGGACAAAACTTTTGGTTCGAGCTTGTTCGGTTAGCATCGCGGAGACGGAAACGTACGTATGTATATATTTAAAACAATTTAGACTCTTTGAGACGATCGGTAAGCTATGTTTCAGTAATTTACTATTATAATACTATCGATTGGCCATGAAGGCTGTGATCGTGTGGACTTATTCTGTACTAAGTAAATGTTTAAAAAAAACAAGAATTTTCATGAGATTCTCTCAAGAATTCACTTCTTTTAAAATAATATATATTTTTTTAATAAGTAGATTTACTTTTAATAAATCCTGTTTTTCACGCTTGGTTGATTGTTTCTCCTATGATGTAACACAACCGCGCTCTGGCGCCACTCGCTAGATAACCAAAAATATGACGCTTGACTAAATCCCCGCCTCGTATTTCCTGAGCCAGTCCCTGGAGTCAAAAGACCGACAGAGAGATTAAATCTATCAGACGCTGATATTGTTATTGTTTACAGTAAGGAAATAGAAGGAATTCTACACACAAATGACACCAGCAGTGGTTAGTCATCTGAAAAACGCGATTTTACGACAGACTGCATTCTGGGAGATTGTGTAGCGCGGTGGTTATTCAGGATTAAAATAATTTGAATTCTTCAGTATTGTTGATTATAAAAGAGCCTGCTGATGCTGATGACGATAGTAATCATATTATTATTGTTGGCTGACACGCCTTGAAACAAATGTTAACAAAATCTCCCAATAGACGATTATTACTGTCAATAATTAAAACCACACTGAGTGGCTCACATATGTGTCTTTCAGTTAATTTAGTTCCGATTAATAAAATAAGAACTAAATGATTGGCCCCCAATTACAAAATACTAATCGCGTGATTTAGCGCTAGACGCCGTTTTTTTTTTTTTGTTTTTTTTCTCAGACGTGTCAAATCTTGTGGTAGAGCCGATCTCAAACATTTTTCAAATGCTTTTTTGTCGTTTTTATCACTTTCAGCATTTCATTCAGCGTGCCGCCTCGTGATAAAATAAACTCTGGCAAGAAAGGTGATAGGCTGTAAGATGCTTTGGGAGATTGTATCTCCAACGAATTAAATAATATTTATGTTGGTCACACCACAAACTCGCATTCACAACACTTGACACTACATTTGTATGATAAATGTAAATTTTTGTAGGCATTTAAAACAACATTCATGGCCGCATACACAAATCCTTCTTGTAAACACAACTATACACAATATAACATGAAAACAATAAACAACAACTAAAAATTATACATAAAACAGTTGAAACCTATCTTGAACAAAATAAAAAATGAAATCTTCACAAATATTCTTAAATTCCTATAATTGTTAACAGAAGCCATTGGTTTATACTAACGGCTTCATATACATAATACTTCTCGAATTCACTCTCCCGTGTTCATATGTAACGTCATGAGCTGCCGTGCAATTTTCGTTTCCAGCGTCTTATATGCACGAGTTTGTCGTTGCTTGGAAATCTTCCATGTAAACAGAAACAGACTATCATCTCTGTATTGTCCGTGTATTGCTTAATATATTGTAATGTGATTGTCATCTTTGATAATGGCTTATGTAAGACGAAAGCTTAGATAGGATTAAAAATATGTATCAATATTGTGATTTTCTTTCTTCGTTTCTTCACACACACACACACACACACACACACACACATATATATCCATAAATATACATATACATACATATATACATGGAGAGAAAGAGAGAGAGAAGGGGCGAGAAAGAAGATTTGAAATAGACACTGGGAAATAATACTTCTCGAAAATTATTTTGACATGTCTGGCATCAAGTGAAAGGAATCTTATGTTTTGCTGTACAACGGTTGGCTCTGGTAATTTAAGACAAACATATTTTACCCGATTTTTGAATTTCCGTCATCCTTTGGAAATGTTTTCAAATTGCTGATTGACTGACACTATATTTCTGGCCAAATCCAACATTGTGACATCGTTTTAAATACATTGCAACTCATTATTTCTAAACTGCTGTTTACCACTACAATATAATCTCTAATCGAAATGAGACTTAGCGTTTTAAATTCATGAACAATTCAACTCATGTACAGCTTCCAACCGAAGTATTTCTATATCTTTTTTCATTCAGAGCTTTCCTTTTCCTACCCACCGTGGAAAATAACAACCGGCAGTAACAATAAGAGTCACATGTATGTTATATGTTACCAGTTTTGTCTGTCCTATCATCATCATCACCCCCACTACCACCATAATCACCAGTCTCATAATCGAGTGTACTTGTAGGGTCGCTGTACGAATGGTCATTTATTTGGTTGAAAATCATGATCAAGTTTGCGCGAATGATTCTCCTGTCCACCACTGAATATACTTTAATGTCTAACATTGATAAAAAAATTCATATAAATAAAAGTTATTTTGTGAAAACGCATAAAATCTTGCGACAACTTTGACATCGTGATTATCTTCGATAACATTCTATACGACTATGTATCTGCTTACAATCTTTTACATTTTTTAATACTATTCATGTCGTGCATGGCAATAAATAATGTGAGAAAAGAAATCAATTTTGAAGACTGAAGATAAGATTAGATTTATTTATTATTTATATTTTTATTTATTTAGACTCTTCTTTTCCACTGCTCATATTTAGGAATGTTTCATCTAGGACCGACACTGGGATTGAATTCATAACCACTATATCATCAAATTCACAAAACCGACGCTTTGAACCTCTAGGCTAGTTAGAAACTGGCAAGCAATAAATGAACAGTAGTAAATAAAAGTAAGAACTAGACGATATCCTTAGACATGAGCAGGTGGAACGAGAATAGCCTGACCACTCCCATAGATTATATGAAATATTATGTTCAGAATTCCCTGTAGGTTACCCAGATCAATATACCCCTGAGGAAGGCTGGAGGATAGAATAGCCGAAACTTTGTGATAAGAGCAACCACGCTGAGGACAATGGTCTGAATATAAACAATGTAAATAATCATGAATCCTAGTAATTCAGACAAAAATAACAATTGACATTGGACTTGAATTTTTGAAGATCCTAGTTGACTCAAACGCAAGAGGCCGGAAAAGATTTCCACAAGCGAGATGTGCCAGAGAAGAAACTGTGTGGTTCTATATAAGCCGTAAGATAATGAGATTGTAGTTCGGTCAAATCCATAAAGACTTGGTGCCAAAGAAGAAAGTGCATCTCAATATTTACTCAGTTACATTTAATTACCTTTAGTAACTGAACTCTCCAAGTTTTGTTGGCTCTTTCCGAACGATTGAAACAGTGTTAAGCAAATATATTTATTCTTTTTAAAGAAAATGCGTATATTTTCTATGTACTTAATTGTGTAAAGAATATTACAGATATATATATATAT